TTTGTTTTATTGGAACCTGAACCAATTTCTTTATCTACAATAAATTGACCTTCCATTTTATACGTAATGAATGTATTGTAAAGGTCCAACATATTTTCACCAGGAGGTGAGAGATTGAATGTTACCCATGTGTTATCTTTAGCAGTTCCAGGTTGTGATGGAATCTTTGCGTCAGAATATTTTCTATTAGTGTCACCAATTTGAACTGCATTGTCTATGATATCGAAATATGAGCGAATCTGATGAATATGCTCTGCTGGAGTAAATTCGTTTAGCTGTTCGTTCTGCATGTATTTACTTCAGATAAAAATATCTATTTACTTCATTATTCTCACTCTTCTTCTTGGCATTCGTGGTGGAAGTTGTTTCTTGACATTTTCAATGAACTGTACATTCTCTTTTGTCTCAACTTCTTTCACTGGTGGGTCAGGGTTCTTTGACTCGGTTTGTTTTTCAATGAAATTCACGAACTTTGCAATAAGCTCTTGGTTCGTTATTGAAAGTACATCTGGCTTCTTTTCTTCTTGTTCTTTTGGTGGCTCAGTTTGAACAGAAGGTTTTATATGGGCTTCGTGGACTTCACCCTTACCATACACCTTAATGTTGTCGCTTTCTGCATTCGCTAATGGAACCTTTCTTTTTCTTACGTATATTTTACCATCTTTACTCTGACTTACGTAATAGAAAGGATGTTGTATTCCTCTTGCGTCATTTAATATAATAGACTCTCGCTCTGATTTTGACAAGCTCATTTTACATCGGTTAAAGTTTTAATTTTGTTTTTTATCTGCAGTCAAATGACTCAGACAAGCCCTACGGACAAGACCCAAGGGGTCATAGATGTTGAAGCATTGAAGAAAGAAATTCGCGAGCAAATTTTATCCGAACTGAAGGAACAAAAACAAGAACAAAAGCCAGAGAGACCAAAGAGAAAACTTAGTGAAAAACAACTTGCTGCATTAGCTGCTGGAAGACAAAAGAACCCACGTTTGCTGGCGAAAAAAGCTAGAGAAGAAGCTGAAGCAAAAGCTAAAGAAGCTGAAGCAAAGAAAGAGTAAATGGTTTATTTTTATCCGAATTAAATGTATAGACAAATACCTTTATCTGTTGCGTTCAGTAGTGAAAACCCTGACGTCAAAATAAAGGGGAACAGAGTAACGTTTAAGTTTCCAACAGACTGGATTGTGAACATAAATGAAGAGAAGTACATTGGCATAACATCTATGTATATAACACGTGCTTTCAGAAAGGTTGACTTTATACTTCAAGTCGAGATAGAAAATGACGAACAGTCTTTAAGCGCCCAAAACATTCACATATACAAATACTTTAAAGACGATACAACATTGTTGCAATGTATGATTTCATTTAATGAAATGTTCGAGAAAAAGTTTAACATTGAAGTACAAACTTTACAGCCTTTACGTGAGTTTCTTGCACAACTGAAAGAAGAAGGTAGTCAGCCACAACTTATAGACTTTCATTATGAATTTAATGAAAATGAAGATGGAACACATGACTGTCAGTTTGTTGTATTCTCACCATTCAATGAAGTCGCTAAAGAGAAAGAAAATCCATTACGTATAAGATTTCAAATCTCTGAACCAAGTGACGATTTCAAGAATGTTTTCAATTATGATGCAATGCTTCCGAGGAAAAATGAATTTTCAAAGATTGTAACACCTGGCATTTGGGATAGAAAGCAAGCTATTCTTTTCTCTAATATAGCCAAAGGCGTTGAAAATGAGTTCATTGGTCATACAAGAACTACACCACTGCCAAATCCTAAATACTATAAATTAACTGGCTTCAATCGTGAGTTTTGGATAGACATGTTCTCCACTCATGACCATAACTGCCCAGTGTTCTTACCTCCAGACCATAAGGACTGTCTCTACATTGAAGCACAACTCTTAAACTCTACCATCGCAGTATTGTAAATGACCACATGGGCTTCGCCCTTGCTGCTAGCGGCTTATTTTTATCACGAATGACCTCATTGCTGACAAAAATAAATGACCTCAGAACTTCAACTTACGAATAAAGCTTGTTTTAGTCGTTATTGAGAAGTTAAACTTCTCTTCAAAGCAAGGTTGATATGACTTACATAAGTCAAATCCAATCTCTTGACCGTCATAAAGTGCTTTGTAAAGTTTCATTAAACTGAACTCAGAGTCTTTGTCATATGTTCCAACAGGTATGTGAATGTTCTTATCTTCATTGTAATAGCATTGTATAGCTTCAGGAAACATTTCATTTGCTGTTAAAGCAAGGACGTCTTGTTTGACACCTTTGCAACGTGCATGGAATGCAACTTCATTTAAATCGTTAGTGAGTAAGTCTATGTAGGTCTTCTTTCCACAAAATATTGACTTGTATGCTAAACTTTGTTTTCCAGGTGTTATTTCTGCGAAGTCAGAATGAAATTGACCAAGGTTCTTTCCTATAAGTTCGCGACCGTATCTCTTCTTAAACTCTGCTGCAAGCTTTGGTATGTCTTCATTGAAAATATGCATGCTATCACAGTCCTGGTAAAATATTTGAAGTCCCATATCCTCAGCAGTACAGAATACTTCACACATTATTCTCTTCGACATAGACAGAATGTTAACACCAAGTGGACAGAAGTTAAAGTGTCTGCAAATGCTTTTCGTTAGCTTGAAAATAGTTTTATCTGAACCATCCAAACCTTCGAACTTCACTATATGGTTGTAGTTTCTGATGGCATATCTTATAGCATCTTTGTCATTTACTATGGTTATTTTTGACTCAATAGGAGATAGAATAGTTTTGCCATAAATACTGTTCAGAATGAGCTTTATATTTTCTTGCAAAGGATTTCCTTCTTTCTTATACTTTAACCTTAAATCAAACAACTTCTTTACTTCATCTCTTATTCTAATATCTCTGTTTCCATCGTAATAGTATCCTTGCAACACTTCACATTTGACACCTTGATATTTTATGAGGTCTTGTAATGTTATATGGTCAACATACATTAAACAGCAAGTGTTTGAACTTCTGGGAACGTTAAGTTCTGGATTTAGTTCAGGGTCACAAACTATTAAAGGAAAGTGTCTATGTATTCCAATCTCTGTTATCTTAATGAGAACAAAGAAGCCGACAAACTTTTCACCAATGGGTTCCTTTTGGTCGTCATCGAATAAATGTCTCATGAGATACTCTGTGCTTAACATTTCTTTCTTCATAACCTTTGGAATACCTTCTAAAGTATAAAGTCTTGCTATAGCTGATGGATATAATGAAACAGCGTCGAAATCAGCAATGAGTTTCTTTTCGCTCTTTTGTTTCATGTTATCTGACAGCATACATCTTCCACCTTGAATACAGCGTGAAATAAATTCTCTTGGTTTATTTGAGAGGTCATATAAATTTCCATTCGGGAAGTACACTCTGTTCTCAAATAATTTGTTAGCAATTGAACAAATACTAACGTAGTCATAAACGTTTAAATCAAATTCTTTCAATATGTCATTGCGGAACTTAACAAAACCTTCTCTTAAAATTCTTACATCTTGTTTGCAATAAAATGTGCTATACTTTTCTAAGTCGAAGTGGTTCTCATCTATTCTGCAACCTTTGATGGAATCTATGTTTTTCATGAATGTATCTGCATCCCGGATAAACTTACATGCTTCAGAAATGACACCAGTTCTGTTGTCATTTGCTAACAAAACACTGCTGTAGTAGTTATATGGAAATACTTCTTTCGGTCCTGTTTGTAAGTTAAACATAGCAGGAAATAGTTTAAGCTTCTTATTTATAACACTGTAAGAGTCTTTTATAATAATTGCCCTTCCTTTATATAAGCCAGTTATTTGCATTGTTCGTGAACCTTTAATGATGGGAGTTCCTTTCACTTCTGTCATGTGTCTTAAGATGAAGTTTATATCATAACTGAGGTTATGGAAATATATTAAACTCTTGTCAGGAAGTCGTTCCAAAAATTCTGTTGCACAGTTCTGACCCCAAATGCTTTCACTCACTGAACCATCTTCACTGTCATAACAGATGTTAAAAGCTTTATGAAAGCCGTCTGTGCTACACTCAAAGTCAGCAAAGAAAACGTGCTCAGGAATGAACTTGCACTTATTTTTATTTACTTCTTTTGACTCGGCTTTCTTCTTCAGTTGTACACAATACTTTGGAGCATATGAAATCTTTAAATGGTGCAAGGTTCTGTTTATATAAGTCAGTAGTATATGTGAAAAGTTCTCCATAAGAAATAGGTTCGAAATATTTGCACTCCCACAATGTTTTCATAACATCCCATAACGGTGTTGTTCTATCATAACGAACTACATATTTATCTTCTCTTTGTATAAATCTTCATCTGTTTCTCAATGTTCATTCCACCACAAGCTTTGAGAATTTCTATATAGTTGCGAATGAAATATGTTGTCATTGGTAATCTTTCATTTAGCATGTAGTGGTCTTCAACAAGAAGTAAGTCAATAGTTCTAACAGTTTTACATTCTTTTGGTATGTATCTCTTTATTTCATTATGTCTTGAGTCATTGAAATAACCAATGGTAACATTAAATGCTATACCTGTTGCGTCAGAAATTTCTTGTACTTTACTTTGAGGAAAGTCTCTAACACGAATGACTTCTCTCATGTGGTCAATAGTCTCTCCATCTACTCCAGCCTGAATGCAAGCATAAACGAAACAATTGTCTTCTGTCATAAGTGTTGCAGTTCTTTTGTTCAGTTCATTGAAGATTTGGTAGCGCTCAAGATTTATAGGTAATGTGCAAAGATACTTCCAGAACTGACCGCTTCTCTTCTTATAAAACTTCTTTTCACCATTATCTTTCCAAAAGCTTTCTATAAGTGCTGGGTTTCCTGTTTGCTTAAGAGCTTCCAAAATGGCTTTCTGGTCATTTGTCAGTGTGCTTTCATCTCTATATGGTCTCTTTTTTGGTTTGCCTTTCTTTACATCTGACATCGTTAAGCCTTCATATTCTGTTAAATCATACATCTTTATTTCGGTAAGATTCTTTATGTTTGTCAAGAAGAAGTCATAGTGCATTTCAACAATACCTGCAGCATTTGCTTCTATCTCTGATATAAAGTTCTCCTTCAAGAGCTGATGTAGTAATGTTCCAATATTATTGAGGTTTAACGTAGAACATTCATACTTTCCACCAAGTTTATAACATACCATCCATCTCTGTTGTGAGTTTATTTTAATTTTCTCTAAGAGTCTCATGAAAACCTTACCGAAATGTTTGTGTAAGTAGTCTCTGTTTGGTTCATCTAAAGCTTCGATGTTAAAGTCAATGAGTCTATTGCCTGACTTCACATTTCTCTTCCTATTCTCTTCATCTTTCTTTAACCATCTCTCACCTTCTTTTGGTTTGTCGTCAATGGAACGAATGACATCGTTAGCTTTGCGAACTTGTTCTATAGCGCTCTTAAACATCTCTCTTCTCTGTTGTTTCAGTGTGTCGTCTCTTCTTCTTGTTTCACCAACGTTTGCATTTGTTATGTCAAACATTTCTCTTCTTACTTCATGAGGTACTGAACGTCTATGATATAAGTCAATAGCAACGTCATTTAAAGGAAATGCTCTTGCATGGACTTCGTCCTCGCCGCGTTGCGGCTTTATGAACTCATGAATTCTATCATAACTTATTGCACCATTATAGTCTTTAATGAAGTCAGCGAGTGCTTTTTTGTTTGTTGCGTAATGTTTTGCTACTTCTATGTTAGCTTCTGTTAGAAGTTGTTTTATTTCCGAGTGTTCTAACTTAGACAACTTCCGATACATCTTTAGTAGGAAATAAAAAAAATATTTTTTGAAAAAATTAGATTAGATTTTTTAAGTTATTTTTCAAAATAATTTAATATTTTTATTTTAATGAAACACATGCAAGATTGCAAGTTCTTTTCATACAATGCACTCGCTACTGCCATCAAGAATGAGTTCAATAATGCTTCAAATGTTAATGTTATCTTTAACAGGAAGTTTGTGAAAGAATCTAAGTTTGGTCAGTATGTCAGACCATTAGCTATCGTCATTGACCGCAAACGTTATACTTCACAAGAGTTAGCAGTAGTTTTGAAACAAAAGAGTTTCTTCGTGAATGTCAAAGATACTCATTATACTGTTATAAAGAACTCTAATATTGACTTCTTCAGTATTACTTTAAATCTTTCCGAACAGAAAGAATATAAGAAGGGTGAAACAAATGTGAAATATTATCCTTCATCTCTGAAGACAATAACGAACAAAGATGTTATACAGAAATTCTTACCAAAGGTTGAAGAAGCTTCTATTGACATTGACGAAGGAAGTGAAATGGTTGAAGAAATAGACCCTGAAGCTATTTAAGCAAAAATATATTTTTGGTTAGTCTTCATATCGATATTTTACAACAATTCCCCAATGTATAAACTTTTCATACGCTTTTTCATAAGCTTTATATACCTTCAGAAATTTTGCATAATCTTTAGAAGCATTTAGATATTGTTTAAATGCTTTGTATGTCTTCAGAAATTTTGCATAATCTTTTACATGTTGTTCGTTCTCTTCTTCTGTCATGAGTTCCGAATATTCTAAATTCATGTTCTTTCATATGAGATAAAATTTTATAAAAAAAAAAAATTAGCTTAGATTTTTTTATTCTTCCTCTTTGAAGTTATCGAAATATTCTGTTATTTTTTCCTTCAGTAATGTTAAGTCTTCTTTGAATGTAAGTATTGTGCAACCTTTGATGTCATAGTGTGTTTGAGGAAGAGTATTTTTGACAATTTCCTTTATTTGCTCATTCGGTGTCATTGAAATCGGTAAGTTTTCACGATAGAACCAGTTTCTGTCAGATTTATATATTTTAGCTAAGTCATAAAAGCTCTTGTTGTTTCTTCTGACTAAATACAACATAACCATATCTTTATCTTCTTCTTTCTCCAACTCTTCAGTATATATCATATACTTATAACTCTTTTCCTTTCCTTTTGGTACCGAACGCGGTATTCTTTTCTGTATGCTTTTGTCTTTGGATTCAATGACTTCATCTTTTGCTTGAAGTTTCTTTTCCATCTCTCCACGTTCTGCTTTATATAGTTCATCTAACATCATGAAAATATAACAAGCATAACGAGGTGAAGCCCATATTGCTACAGCGTTTACTAAAAGTCTATGAACATAATAACCTTTCAAACCAGGAGCCAAATTCTTGCGATTTTCATACGGAATCTCTTCTCTCGGTTTTCCGAGAGAAGCAATCATATGAGGAAATTCTTCTAAAAGTTCTTTTGTCTGTTGGTTTTCAAACCAATGATATGCTTGCTTTGTAGAACGAAGAGCGTTCATTATACTTTGCATTTGGTACATGTCATCTTTGACTGAACGAATGAGACGTAACTGTTTGTTATACTGTATGTACTCATATTCTTCATTTATAGCTTCATGGACTATAACTGTTGTTGTGTTCTCTGATGTTGTCATTACTGTCTTTACATACAAAATAAAAAAAATAAATAAAAATAAAATTAGCGTTATTTTTTCTGAGATAAACACTATTTCTTCACAACATTAAATTTTATCCTGTATGAAATGACTTTAAAAAGATTATTGACTGACTTCGAATACTATCTCATTGACGCACTGACAGACCCTCAAAACTGTGTTGAAAGTTCTTTAAGCTTTAAGATTGAAGGTATGACGCATTTTGTCTTCACTTACGTATTGAAAGAATATGACCGTTATCATAACGAAGTGAATCAAACACTAATAAAATTTGTAGATAAAAAATTGGTTAACAATGATGAAGAATACAGACAAGTTATTGAAAAAAATAACGCAAGATTAGATGCAATAGAAAAGAAGTTTAATGAATGTCTTACAAACACGTATGAATATCTTATGCGGTGGGAAGCCAGATGGAAATAAATTTACGTCAAATATGCAATTTATAAAATCTTATGTCGACAGGCTACGTAGCACGGTGGTCTAAGGTGGTGTTATGGAGGGGTCAGGGTCTGTGGTTCGAACCGCGACAGCGCCGTATTTTCTTATTTTCTTTGTTTGTCTTGTTTGTCGTGAATAAAAAGTGTCATAAAAGTGCTCTATCTTCCACGGGAATAAATAAAAAATTTACTTTATTTCTTCTTTATTTCTTTGTTCCCGTGGAAGAAGGGTTTTGCTGTTTTTTCTCAGCCGAAATCAATGATTTTTTCATTTTTGGAATCCTTAGCGAATGAGGAATCTTTTCTCTCGTGGAAGCTTTGACCAAAAATATAATTGAGGTGAAGAGGTGAGATCTCACCTGTTTTCTCACCTGTTTTCTCACCTCTTTTTTCACAAGCGTTTTACATGAATTGTACGATGTATATTTGAAATCCTAAACAATTTCGTAGCTTCTATTTCTTCTTTTAGTACATCGAATGTTTTAATCATGCCGAAAGTCTCTTTATATTTCTTCTTGACGTCAGACAGAAGGAAATCTTCTGCTGTTGGATAGTTTTTATTAAGAAATGTCAACATATCCATTTTATCTTCTGCTGGCTTTTCTGCTTCTTTCTTTAAGTCTGCATAGTCGTTTCGCATTCTTTCTATCTCTTTGACTGAGTAGTTATATTTTCTTATTGCTGCTTTACATTTTGAACATTGCGGCATCGTTTTTGCGTTATACATTGAAATAAAACCAGCTAGAACAACTAAGGCGTCAATGGTTTTCTTTAACTCAAAAGCTGCTGGTTTTATCTGTTCATTCCATACTTTACCTCTTCTATCTTTATCTCTTATCTGCCATACACATTTTGCAACTAATGAAACAAAGTTATCGTATGTCTTAAATTCTTCGGATTTGTAAAGGTCAGAAATATTTTTATAAACCATGTTGCAATCTTTGTCCATAACTTTATGGTTGCAATGAAAACCAAGAAATTCATAATTTACTTTACGTATGAACTTCTTTATTTCTACTGAGTCAGTTGCTTTGACTTCAATTTCGTCGAATTCAGGAATAGTTAGTTTTTGCTGCTGAATTTCAGGTAGTTTAGGCAAATGGTCGATGAGGTCCTCCATTTCATAAAGATACTGTTCATTTGTTTCATCTTTCGCACTACAGTCTAAATTACTTGTTAAAAGTTCTTGCTTTATCTTCTGGATTTCTGTTTCAAAAGTATATGAAGAAGGAATAAAGCTTTTCATCTCTACCAACATTGACGTAGGATTCATGACCAGTGAGTTTGGTGCTGTAGTTGTTTGAATTGTTGTTGTGCCGATTGTTGAAATCATATCTTTTATACAAAATAAAAAATAAATAAAAATAAAACTAACCTTATTTTTTCTATCTTAAGGAAATTCATGAAAATTCACGAGAAAGCTAAAGCAATCTGAGCCGCTAAGCGGCGAGGGTGAAAAAAGAGGTGAAAAAACGGGTGAGATCTCACCTCTTCACCTAAAATATATTTTTGGTGTAAATTTATGACAAAAATAAATGGTACCATTAATGATATCATGACTGTTCTCATTCATGTCTGATTTACTTCTAATGAAAAAGTTTAGAAGAATTTTCTTATTCTTTCTGGCTTATTTTTGTCTTTCCAGTACTCCCGCTCTAATGGTCCCAGATGTGTTGGCTTTGACTCTCTCAAGTTCTTAGATGGTATAACATCTTCAACGCCTCCTTCATATCTTACTTTATAAGTGTCATCGTTTATGTTATAGCCAAGTATTTCAATAACCACTCCTCGCTTTGCTTCGTCAATGGTTTCAGCAAGTTTGCCATTACTACTTTCGACTAATTTGTGACGAGGGTAAAACGCAATAGAGTCGTCGGCAGCTTTTATAAGATATCCATTACCTTGCGTAGAGTCTACGATATAATAGTTTCTACTTAACCTTAAACGTTTCTTTGTCAACGGTTTGTCGTCAAGAACTACACGAACTTTTGTACCAGGAATGAGGGTAAATTGTGTTGAATTTCTGATATTTTGTGTTTGGCTTCGTTTCTTTTGTATATACTTTTCTTCTTGTTGTTGTGTCATTGAATTTGGTGTATGTCCTGTTGTAGAATGTGTTGAGGAATTATATACTTCGAGAAAATGTTTCATTGTTTCTTCGGTAAAGTCTCGCTCTTGGTTTAAATCTCTGAGCGTTCTTATGAAGCGGGTTATGATGCCGAGTATGTTATGGTTATGGTCTTCAGTAGTGTAGTGAGTTATGTTATGCTTAATGAGAAATTCTGTGATTTCGTTGCTGAGGTATGCACTGTCTTGGTCTGATGTTAAAGTACTTGGGCTATGTTCTGCTACAAACTTTTGTAAAACTCTTAACACTTCACGAGTTCCTTTATTTTTCATTGGATATGCATATGCTTTACGAGTGTTAACATTAATGAAGATGAGGAATGGTTTATGTCCTCCTTTTCTGCTTTGAATGAGAGTGTCAAATTGGTATGCGTCAGGAGTGTTGGAGTAAATTGGTAAAAAGTAGTCGTAAGGGTTTATTTTTGTTTGATGTACAACATTTTTGTCAAAGAACCTTTTCACTTCAGCTCTGTTAGTAAATCCCCAACTCTTTGCAGCTTCATTGAACTTCTTAAATGACCTCCATGGATGTTGTTCGAATACTTCTTTCAAGCTCATTTATGTAAAGTTAAAGATTTTATTCTAGGCTCAAGCGCGTTCATTGAACGCGGTACCATGCAAATACAGTCACAAATGGTGGCATATAATCTGCACCCGAGCCTGTTGGATTTGTTGTGAAAGTGTGTGAATGATTTCTTCCTGGTTCAGTTGGTCGAACAGTCTTTTTTGCTGAATTGTTATAAGATGGAGATAAAACGTCATGGCCAGCTTCATACTCTGAGTTGTATAATGGGTGGTCTCTTAATGAGTGGCTATGGTCGCCAGAAAAGTTTGTCGTTCCTGTATGAGTGTGCGGTGGAAGGTTTACTTCTTTAATTTTCTTCGAACCTCCTGTTTGCTTTGAATATCTAGCACAGTATAAGAATTTATCTACAATCTGCTTCCACGTACCAAAACCTAAAACTGTTTCTGGATTTGTTGAAGTCATTGACGTATAAATAGAACCAACAGGATATAATGTTTGAAGTATTTCAGTCTTTAATGTTTGAAGCTCTGTTTTGTCTGCTTTCTTATCATATAAATCTTGAGCAGTGAATTTAACATTATTTTCATCATCCATGACATAAACATTTTTACAGCTAATTTCTTTCTTCGTTGTTATGTTTTCATTCGATGTTAAACCTTGTGGAAAGTTAGGAGGTTTATAATATAATGCATCCCCACCAGTTCCGCCAACCGTTCCTTCAATACTTTCTATAGCAACAGTTGAGAAGGAGTTATGTGTATGTTCTTTATCTGCTTTTTTATCTAACATTGCTGGTAGTTCATGTGTTTCAAAGTTTCTGACATGACCTTCAATGTTCATACATTTACTATTTAAGGAGTTTAGTGTATCTTTTACGCTTGTACTTGGATTCTCTAAAGGTGCACTTGAACCAAGGGTATAGTTCAATATTATGTCGTCTGCTCTAACAGTAGTGAAGGATTCATGTGTATGGTTCTTGTCAGCTTTACTATTTAATGTAGCTTGAAGTTCATTTATATCGGAGATATTGTGTTTATGAGATTTCAAAACTTTGTTCGTTGCGTCAAGTTCATCTTTGTCAGCTTTACTTTTAATAGCATCTTCAAAAGTTATTTTTGCCTTAACTCTCAATGTAAATCTTGGTTCAACTAATACACCGTTAACAAAGAAGTATGAAGCATAAATTTCATTGTTATAACCAAATGCTTCTGGTGCTTTACCTGTGTCATACTGTACAGTACAGTGTATGTCATAACCTTTAGCACGAATGAATTTATATCTTCTTTCATTAACATCTTCAGTGCTTATTTGTTCATCCTGTGTTAAATATCCATGGTAGTCCGTTATAATCTGTTCGTCTGAACTTATATAATGAACATGGTTTTTATCTGCTTTTTCGGCTAATTTCTCATTAACATCATTCACTTCTAATTCAACTCTTCCGCCAGAACTCTTATTATCATTAATTTTTTTCATTAATTCGGTAATTACGTCATAAAGACTATATTCTGTTTTCGGTTTTGTAAATAATGAGTCAAAATTTCTTTTCATCATTACATCGCTGACATTAATGATATCACCAATTCCTTTTTCATTTATTCTCTTCATTAATTCTGCAATAATGACGAATATATAATCTGTTAATTTATTCTCTTCATCGAGGGTTATAGAATGTTTTGAAATTGAATCATTAACTCCTCTAAATAAATCAATAACTTCAGGATACACGTTTTTAATGTCTCGAATAACCCGACCAGTATCCTGTTGTTCATGTTCTTCGTTCCCGTCGTTACGTGGTTTTATATCTCTAACCATCATCAACGCAGCCATAACCGGAGGGTTTGTTGCTATCTGTTCGAAAATCCGTCCGTTATGTACGGTATATCTAAATAATTTCTTTGTGTTTGTTAAAACATTTGAAACAAGTCTTTTAAAACCATCTACAAAATTTCCTGTTTCACCTAATGTTCTTGCAGCATTTACAAGCTCATCCATTCCCGCTTTTGACCCCAAAAACGTCCATATTGCATTTATTTCACTTTGTATAGTTGTCCATTCAGCGAAACTAACACCCGAATTCGCTAAGCTGAAAATGAAATTCAGTGGATCGAACTTAATTCCACCTTCTTTTTCAATTTCAACGAACTCACTAACATGAGATTTTAAGTATTCTTTCGTTAAAATTGTTTTCCCCGATGTTATGTCATTAACGAAACTATCACCGTCAAAAGTTAACGAATTCAATTTCGTCGTTGATGCTTTTATTTCATACACCGCTTTATCTATAGTTTTTGGCTCACCTTCTTTAGAAGCATATGAAACATTAATGAATGAATTATATGTATTCGTGAATGAGTTAAAATCAATGATTTTCATTAATGACGCCTTTAATGATTCATTTACTGTCGAATCCCTTAAAGTAATTAATGAACTGTCATTTATGAAAGGTACACTGCAAACCGTCGAGTTTGGGTCAAATGCTGTAGTTGGTGCAGGAATATTAATGATATAAGTCATTAAATCATTAAGTGACGTAAATAATGTTGTCGTTTTTGATTTAATTTCTTTAGCATCTGTTATATATGGTAATTTCATTTCTGTAGTTTCTGAATTAAAGATATTCGCTAAAATGTTTTGTAAACTGTTTTGAACAGCTGTGTAAACCGTTGAATCCGGAACTCTTACGATTTCACCGTCCTTAATAAAAGGCATTGCACATGGTGTAGTGCTTGGGTCAAATCTTTTTGGGTTATGATTCAACATATATTCTAATGCTTCATAAACAGACCTATATACGGTTGTATTATCTTTTTCAATAATTTCACCGTCCTTTATAAACGGCATAGTACATGGAGTTAAAATAGGGTCAAACTTTTCATAGTCCTTCCATGTTATGTATTTCTCAGTATTTCCATCAGTGATAACAATATATTTGTCAGTAAGTGTGAGAGAGTATTGACCAAAATATAAACGTTTAGCTCTGTCAGCTTCATACGCATATGCAGCTATACTCATATTTTAATGAGTATAAAATGTTGTTCTATTTGCAAAGTACAGACCCAAACGAATACGGGACAGTAAAGCTACAAACAAACTTAGGTCTACAGAATGAGGCGCTTGCATTCAGAATGGTTGACTTCAATACTATCGCTTCATTCGTTATAACAGATGAAACAGATTTCATGGAGATTGAAATAGATGGAAAGAAGCACGAAATAAGATTTCACAATAATGTAGAATATAAGATGGAAACATTAGCTGGAGTGTTAAATGCTCTCATAAATACTACAATAAACAAGGATAACGAAGAAAACTTAATGAATGTTAAACTTATTGCAGGAGTTTTGAAGTTCAGTTATGCGAAGGAGTTTAAGATAACACGAATGAGTCATAGAGTTCAATTGCTTCTGGGAGCATACCATATGACATTTCCTTTGAAAAGTGTTGACAAAACGATTGAGATGAAATCTGTTCCATACGTATGTTATGGTAATTGTTTATACATTGAGTCTAAAATAGCTAATGTCACAGGTATTTCAGGAGTTAATAGTAAAGGTTCAGTAGAATATAAATCATTCTGTTATGAAGTAAATTCAATGTTCATTCCAAACGTTCCTGTCATAGCAACTCATTTAGGTAAATGGGTTCGCATTAGTCCTCATAATTTGAAAGACATGCAATTCAGACTTGTTGACTTTCAAGGAGGGCCTGTAGAACTGAAGGCACCAGTGCGAATGACTGTTGAAGTAGACTTTTTAGATAATATTAAGTGCAACAGCTTACAAGAGAACTCAGAGCTAAAAATATAAAGTATGAATGTTATGTATTAGGTCATGAACTTTGGTTGTTGCTGTTTGATGAAACAAATGAGTTAGTTATGTCAGTCAAGAGAACAGAAAAATATTGTGTTAGTGAAAACTGCACCAAGTCAATAAGATTAGGTTTGCATTATGAAGATGAGTTCGATACTGTTGAAGAAGTTTTGGATAGATATTACAAATTGCTAACTGAAATTTTTTTGACTGACGGCGCAAAGCGCCAAGACCGAAGGTCCTGACTGCTTTAATTTACTAAAACATATTTCAAACAAAGTTTATATTCTGTTGAAAGTTTTGTATATTCATTCGAATATTTATACTTAAACTCAACTCCTGTAGTTCCTGGTGTTTCAATGATGCGGATGTTACCTATTTTCATGAATAGTGGAGTTTGACCACAGCATTTCAGGGTCGAGATAGTCAATGACACATTGTTTCCCTGTTATTCGTGAGATAACATTTTCAAGGTCCTCCTTTGTGTTAGAATTATTTGGTTCTTGCTTATAAGATTTGTCAAAAGCTTCTTATCGTCTTTGAGTAAAATTGTTTGGTATAACTGAAGAAGGTAATGGTTTACGTTATCTGAGGATTTGTTTGAACATTTGTGTAAGGATTGTCGTTGGCTTCTCTTGAAAGAATTTGGTCCAGTGGTGGATACTCTAACTTAACATCTGATGTAGCGTTAGCGTTTGAAGCTGTGTTTAAATTCACGGATTTCAGCTCTGGTTCTGGTTCTTTCAAACACTCTGAACTATAGTTCTTTATGACAATTGTTTGTCGTTCGTGAGTCAACATTTGATGTTGGTTCAATTGGAACATTAACGGCACCAGCTAAGATGGATTTGCTTCTCATTTCATATAGAATAAAAACCTTTTATATGTATGAAATGAACAATATACTCGACAAGGGTTTGAATGTAAAGCTAACGAATGAAAATATTGTTGAATTCACTGAGACAGGTGCTGTGTATAAAGATGTAGAACTACTGAACAAAAGAGCTAAGGGAAGAAGCAGGAACATGAACAAAGGGTGGAAGCCTATAAAAATTTATGTCAATGATGGCTCAGGAGGTTCAAACATAAAGTATGCAGAAAGTTATAGAGTTTATGCTCTCAAAGGTGAAAAGCCTTCATTTAAGAACAGCTATTCTAACGCATATCCTCAAAAGCTAACGGATGGGGAAGTGGATGATATGAATGACAGCAAAAATATTAACAGAAATGGCGACAGAGATGCATGGAATTTGTTTACCATCAGTCAATTGAAGGTTAAACTTTAAAACAATGTTGGTCGTTCCCATGGAATATTTTTGACTTTAATGGTATTAGTCATGATATGAATCTCAAGGTATGAACGAGGAGAGATGAGAGACTTATATGCTTCCCAAATTTCTTCAAAAGGTAATGTTATACCTGACTGTTTCCAAATGAGTTCAATATCATAGCGTGAGAAACCTTGAAAGATAACGAAGTCAGTTATGAGACGTTTTATGTTTAAAGCTAAAAACCTCCATGTTTGCATAAGTATTGCTACAGTTAAGTGGTAATGTCTGACTTTAGTAATGATGTTAGCTAATGGTGAGTCTGGTTTTGACACTAAACCTTTTCCGGCGAAGTCGTCGCAAACTAACAAAGTATTTGAAGGATATTTTTTGAAGGGGTATTTTGAAAGTTTTGACAGAATGTAGTTTGTAAGTCGTTTCATATCGTAAACTCCTGAGTACTGACGTAAGTGGTGTTTGTCAATAATTCTTTCTATCTCCTCAGAAGTCTTTTGCATTCCTGACTGTATAAATTCAACGATGGCATAATATTTCCTCTTACGTCGAATGTAACGTTGAAGAAATTCAATGAGTTCACTGTCTGGAACTTTAACGACAGAGGCTTGAACTTTTGACATAAATGTTTTCGCTGTTGAGTCCATAGAGTCTGAAGTTGCTGATATAATGATTTGGTCATAGTAAGAGTCATTTCCTAAACGCTCTGTTATGAGTATATGACGAATGAGGTTAAATGTCTTACCTGAACCCATCTTTCCACAATAGAAATAAACACCATTTGAACAGAACTCATAGTCCTTACTGAAAGGAAGAATAAGAGAAGAGTTAAGTTTGTCTGTAGTTTCATTCATGTCTTCATCTACGTCATGTATTAAATGCTTCATTTTATCTCCATTAAAAATGCAAGTCAGAAATATTCAGAACATAGCACCGAGTCTAACTGACAAGAGTATAAAGATATACTATGAACATGTTATGATGAAACCTACCAAAATTCAAGAAAGTCAGTATACTTATGAATACCCAAGACACTGGGTAGAGTATGTAGGAGGTGAGAAAGCTATTGAAATCAGACAGGTTCGAAGTATTCCAGCAGGAAGAACAATATTATTGAAGAACTTTAATGTTTTGAGGTATAATGATGAAACAAAGAAGCAAGATAGTTTTCCTGTTGCTGTGTATGTGAACTTAGATACAGGAGATGACATGAAAGTTTTTAATACAAAGCTTCAAACGGTAGTGAGAGAACAACTGACTGCGGAAGGGCATCCATTACCTTCAGAAGTTACCATAGCATATAATTTTGAAACAAACTCAATAGATTTTAAAGTCATCTCTGCAAAGAAGTCAGGTTTTACATTTAATGAAGCAGATGTATATTCGAATGAAAACTTCAAAGCTATTGCATGGTTAGATAATGACGATTGCTTTAAGAAAATATTTAAATACAGTGACTCAAAGATGTCAATAGATGATCTTCGTGGAATGTTACCATCGACGTTTACAGTAGAAGGTTCAGCAGGATTGCTTACAAGATTGTCAATTGGTGGTATTTGGTCTCGTGAGAACATTGTTATAAAATCCAGTATAAGTGAATTTGCTGAAGAATCTATATTATGTCTTTCAAACTACATGTATTCGCCGCCGAAGCATTATAGTATAACAAACTTTGTCAGTAAGTTTAACATAAGACTTGTCGAACCTTCTTCAATGAAAGATGTTGTGCTACCAAAAGACGGAAAGGATGGACTCATTATTGAGATGATTTTAATAGCATATTAAATGAGTTTGTTTTTGAAGGTCATTCATGATGAAATAACTGTTGTAGAAGATGTTAGCAATTGTTCAGACATTTTGAAGCGTATAGATGATATAAGAAAGAAGTTAGATAGACCGCAAAGCGGTGAGGGCGAAGCCCGTGAGAAAGCTTATGTTTCATTGACTTTCTCCAGTAACGAGAACTTTTATGAGATAATATTGAAGAGAGATGATTTTAATATGGTGTAAATGGTAGCTTGGGCAGCTTTAGGCGCAATGGGAACAAAAGCATTAGCATTTGGAGCAAAAGCACTTGGAGCTTATGACGCAGTAAATAAAATGAGTGGAGGAAGGGTTTCGAAGACATTAGATGCAAATAAAGGGAAGATTGGAGGCTGGGTTGCAAAGAAGTTAAGATTAAATAAAATAGGGCTCATAAATAAAGCATCCAATTTGGTTGCGACTGAGTCAGAAAATGCTTTAGGAAAGGACGATGAGTTTGCAAAACACGCAAAAGACTTTAATGACCAGATGAAAGGTGAAACAATGCATTTAAATAGAGTCGATGGAACTAAAGAAAATGTTTCTTCTCCACCAGTAGTTCTTCCGTATGGTCCCTATGGAATGTATGGAAATCCTTACGAAAGACCATTTGACCCATTGACTGGTGGAAGTAACTGGTATCATTACGGACGAAGAAGAAAGACAGTCAAGTTGGAGACAGACGTGAAGAAAGCAACTAAAAAGAAACCAAGGAAGAGAGTTATAAAGCAATGAATTCAACAGGGTGAAAAAAGAGGTGAAAAAAGAGGTGAGATCTCACCACTTCACCTAAATTTATTTTTGTGCTATGTTTTCATACGTGTGGGAGTGGTGATATCATTAATTTTTAAGTTTATTTTTTATTTTATTTTTATTTTATTTTTATTTTATTTTTATTTTATTTTTATATATATGACGAAAACTATTGAGATAACAAACTACAACGGTCATGAGTTCAAGAATTTGTTCTTCGTTCCTCGTGAAAATACATTCTATCAGATACGAGGGAGAAAAGGTAAAGTTAGTTTGAGCGTTTATGAAGGAATGAAGAATGGAAAGTTTATACAAGCATACGATACAAACGGTAAACGTGTTTCATTAGCTTTGTCAAAACTTACTAACATTTATTTTGACAGTGATTTTGACCTATATGAAGAAGAAAGTGAGTCAGAAGATTATGAACTATTGTGTGAAGCACAGCAATGGGAAGAGTTGCAATACTTTTGTAAGTGAGAACGTTTATTTTTACAGTAGTGAGGTGAGGTGGTTGGCGGCTTTGTAAATATTTAAGGTTAAGTTAGTGTTGTCGTTTGTGTTGTAAAATATACGTTAACGGTTTTGTAAAGTGTCAAATTCACAAGTATTGGGTAAGGTGGAACGCAGTGCCACCGTACACTTGATATGTTTACTAACTGAAGCTGTTTCTGTGTAATCCATATTTGATCCATTTTCTGTACTGAGCAAGGAGATTTACATATTGCGTGTCATCGTAATCTAAAGAATGTGCAATCTGGTATAATGCGATTGACATCTTATCTATCGAGTTACCTGATAAATCACAAAGACCTTCATAATCTGTTTTTCCATCTTCCTGTGGATTTAATAAAGCTTGAGGAGTTAATCTCAGCTTATCATTGCGATATGGCTGTCTTTGTGCAAGCTGTGGATGCAAGACTGAATCAAAAGTGACTCCATCTTCAGGGCCAAACTGGCCATCGTGAAAATCTGACGATGAGGTATCGTCAGATCCGTTAGCATTATCTTCATTTTCTGTAGATTCGTTAGTATTTTCATCATCCGGATCGTTAGTATTTGAATGATTTTGGTTTGCTGCAATATAATTGTCAATTTCTTGATCTGATATAGGTTCTACGGCTGTAACCGATTGGTAGCCTTCCGGAATAACTTCTTCAAATTCTGCAATTTCTTCCTCTTCGTGATAATCCTCATCAGTTGAAGACTCACCATCAGATTCTTCGAAGATATCCTCTTCTTCTTCGACTAATGGCTGATATTCAGCATTCGGGTCATTTGCCCTTTCTTGGTCAAGGGTCTCTCCAAATGCGATACAGTCTGGTATACCTTTAATTACATCACGAACTAGTTCTCCTTCCATAGGGTAATTCGGATATACAAATTTTGCGATGTTGGATTCAACGTCTTTTTCGGAAGCTAAATCCGGAAATGCTTGGCGAAGTTGTTCTCTTCCAGTAAAGATCAGTGAATTTGCGAATTCAAGCAGTCCTCTGTTGCCAGTTCCTTCAAATCTGGCCAAAATACGCATTTGAAGGTAAACTTGGGCGCTCGAAGCTTCAGCTACAATATCATGAATCCTTTCGTGGTATTTCTCTTGAGTAAATTCAACATAGAATGCATTGGAAAATTCATCAGATGCACGGCAATACTGCACAAGAAGATCAATAGTATTTGCAGCAGTCGTTTCATCTCTCTCGAGGAGATGGACCAACTCGTAAACTGGATAGAATATGATGAAAAGACAAGGCAAGGCAAACTCCAAGAGATATCGTAATGGACCAAGAACATCTTGTATTGCATCCTTTAACCGGGCCGGAGTTTGGTATGTCAGCTTTTGCAACGTTTCATAATGCTTGACAAGCCATAAAATGATATCAAATTCACTTGTCCATCTTGTTTTTACGTAGAGTGGACATTCAACTTTGAAGTAACAACGAACAGGCTTAGAGCGGAGAAAAAGTGAAATCTTATTCAGATTTTCAAATACTGGAAATTCATGTTCCATTGAATAGTCTTCAACAAATGACTTAACTGCCAAGGAAAGGGTATGCGCTGCACAAGGGATTCTGAGAAATCCGTCTGTTTGAACAAAATTGTGATCACATGCAAGGACTTGAGCATGCAAGTTGTCAGTTACAACGGTTCCAAGTTTTATTCCATTTGAGGCCAACATTGCCAGAGCATCACGAATGGCACGATCATAAGAATCTGTTGTTCCGTCAAAGCCGGTCTTGATATCCAACGGAAAAGGATAACCATCATGTACCGATGGGTTATAAATCATTAAGTCAAGAGTCGGCCTACCACATGCAGTTCCAGCATCAATTAAGAGGGATACAGTATGGTCGAAGTAATCTGATAGACTTTTTTTGGCTGCTTCTTTGGAATCTTGCAAAAATTTTTCTGTAAGTTAAGCTCGGTTTATAGACTTGATTATATCATTAATTTGATCCTTCTTCTTCAATGTCATTCCTACTTCAAGAATGATTTCCACAAGATCACGGAATGAATCAGAAGATATAGCATTAAAAGAAATTTTGTTACAACCAATAAAAATCTCAATAGCTTGAAGAACCTTCTCTTTTGAAGTGAGAACTTTATCAAAATCGATAAGTTTTGTATAATAGCAAGTGTGGTCTGCTATTAATTTATTATCATTGTAGGATTCTAAATAAAATTGATGTAGACATTGCTTCCCTTCTGCATTTTTTGTAGCGCATCGAACAATTTTATGATGAGAGTTAGATTTAACTGGCACATATCCTTTAGGTATTTCATTAGGAACACCTGTTGGCATGGACCAAGTTTTATCATATCACATGTCAATTACATTTTATCGTTATCATTTCATATCACATGTCTGTACCCCCAATAAATTCTTTTCCCCGGCATTTGTAAAGTAACCCACTTTTTGCAACCTTAGGAGATGTAATTATGTATAAGAATACTACCTTTGATTTTTTGAATCTCAGATAACACATCGACATGTATATGCTTGATATACTGGTAAATACTCAAATATGTCTTTACTAGGCAAATAGTTCATTTGGCAAGCAGTATTCTATATTTTTATTATTAGAATTTTTTAGTTATTCTCATGCATCTTCAGCTATCAAGCAAACATTAGAATCATTCAGAAGCAGCCTTATTTCACTTCTATTTAGAATTCGATTTTCTATAAATATGTCAATAGTTTTCAAAATCCATTCGTTTAAATCAAAAATAAAATATGCAATTATCTTAACACAATACATATTTTGATTGATAGCCTTAGTCGTGTTAAGTTGGAATGAAAAAAAACATTGTTATTTTTATCTTGATTATCTTAAGCGTATTGTCATGCTGATGTTTATAAATTCACAGAAGCTTTCATGACCAATATAAATACTAAAATAGGAATTCCTTTTAATATCAAATTGGATTATCAACAGAAATTGATCCTATCCTATTGCAAAATAAGATCATTTGCTACTGTTTAACTATTTATGTATGCACATAGATTCATAATAAGTTTTTGATGAATTGTAAAGGTGACCAAACTATTTTTTGAAAGTCCGCCATAACTTTAATGGTACTATTTCAGCGTGTACAATGAATACAAAAATTCTAAGAGTGCCACATAAAATAGTACTTTAGACTTGAGTTAATGCTACCAAGCAAATGTTAAAAAGATGACTTTAGTGTTTTGATAATCAAAGATTAAAATCATTATTGTCTAAATCAATAATCATAACGACAGAAGTTAATGTTTTTTCATAAGTGCTTTAAATCCACTTTTAAAAGTATACCTCAAAAATCAAAATATCAAAAAAAATCTAGTTTTTATGAATCTAAAGCTTTCTATAGTTCACATGCAAAAACCTTTAGTTTTATACTTTTTTATGGTTTTCATGAGACAAAAAGTTATGATTTAATAATTATTTTTAATTTTCCGCTGTTATCAACATAGATGACAACTTCATACACTTAGTTATCTAATATCTTGACTATTACACTCCTTAACCCCAACATTCAAACAAAAACCTTTACGGATGCCTAATATGAAATTTTCTTTTTTAAAAGACATTTCTATCAATAAATTATTTCTGGTAGTTAGACAAAGACCATTTTCTAAGTTGTTCAGAACTGTTTTCGTGCAAATTATCTATGAATGGGCTTAACAAGTTTAATCTGAAAGTTATTTCCAAAACAGAAATGCATATACAATCAAAAGAATATATATTTATGCCAATAATTGATGCTGATGTGGTTTTGCAATTTTACAGTTATTCACATATCATTATGCATTAAATTTTCATATTTGCTTATTTTTCTATCTTTTATCTTATGTATGATGAATTTCATAACTATTGGATATGATTTCATCATTCATATTGCATATTTCCATTTTGAAATTTTAGGAATCTTCAATTTTGGATGGATGTTTATAAAGTAGCTGTTGTAAATGGAATTTAAATTAGTAGTGACAACATTTGGTCATAACAAAATTGTATCTTGTCGATTACAAAAAATTAATTTCAAAATAATTTCTACAAGTGAAGCAAAAAGATATTAAATATCATTACCAATTCTATTCTAGTATGAAATTATAGAAAATATTAAGTTTATTTTATTCAGATTGGTCTGACATTCTCTCAAAAAGTTAATGAATGTTGGATTCTATATTCCTCTCTCAGACATCAACGAACTTAAAAAGAAGATTGAAGAACTTGAAATTGAAATAAAAGGAGACCGAGAAACGTTTTTAGTTAAATTTAATCAAGATATTCGAAAACAAATTTACAAAAGATCATTTGAAACTGATGTTCAGGTATTCCCGTATACAGGAACCGGAAAAATGCATATGTATAAAGCCTACCTAGAAGACTTAGACGCAATAAAGGCTGAAATGCGCAGAAGTCTGTTGAATAAGAATATTGGAAGAAAAACAAAGGAAATAGAAGAAGACAACGATGATCACCAAGACAGAACTTACTGGAATACAGAATTTCCGGAACATGTTCCTGAATTTACAAGAAATATTATACATACTATTATGGAAAACATTTGTAGAAAAGATAAAAGAGGTTATAGATATGGAGGTGAAAGTGAATTGGTAGATTTGGCATTCTTAATACATAGCAAATCACCAGCAGCATATGATGTTCTCTTGGAATTTTGTTTACCTTTTCCTACGCCTGTAACATTGTACAATAGGTTTCATGAAGACATAATGAATATGAAACAGTTTGTTAAACATGCTGAGCTCATTCCGCGAATGTTAGAAAGCATGAACTATCACGTAGAAAATACACCTGAATATGAATGGGCAATAGCAATAGATGCAGTTGCACTCTCTACCTGGTCCTCTAAAGACCAAAAAGGTCCTGTTGATGAAAATGGAGAAGAAATCAAATACTTATTCATATTTCTTGGTATGCCCCTAAATTTTGATGCGCCAAATGTTATATTACATGTTATAGAACATGCCAATGGGTTTGCAAGTGGAATTATCCACGAAATTGATGCAGCAATCGAAGAAATACGAAAGCACTTAAGAGTTAGAGTCATCATTACTGATGGAGATCCCGGATATGATAAGCATCAAGATGAATTTATTAATGAAATTTTGCAAGGTAATGATCCCGAAGAAATATTTAAAAGAGCTACTGCTATCTTAAAGAAAGGAGATCAAGTTGTATGGATTAATGATCTCATACATATGTCAAAACTTGAACGTACCAGATTACTCGATGCAACACTTAAGCTTTTAGTTCATCCATCTGATCTGAATACAATTGTTGATGTTAACAAGATCAGAGATGCAATCGAATTAGGTGATGCTCTTAATGATACTTCACCTCTGGGAAGGATAAAAGATAAATATCCGATCACAATATTTTCAATTAGAGCTGTAAAGGCGCTTCTAGAAAAAAACTATTATAATGAAGCATTATTCATAGCTCCACTTGCATTCTGGTATGAAAGCATACGAAATGAGGCATTTAATGCTGACACAAGATGTCAAATGATGTGGTTTGCATATCTGCTCTTGGTACATCATTGCATTCAAATGAGAGACCGTCACATTAAGACAAATCTTGGTGTTGTCAAAATAGACGGAAACATTTATCCGGTCTATTATATGGGAACTTGGGAAGTTGTAAAGCATCTTACAGCAACAATCATTTGTTTCCAATATTTTTTCAGTATTAATTCAACATTTTTCAATTTTTCTCATTTGACAACCATGACGGAAGAACATTTGAATGGTTTACTTCGCGTCATGGCTCATTTTAAGTATGATTTGTCAACAACCGAAACATCTATTGCAGAATGTAATTTAACACTCAAAATTCATAAAAAATACGATATTGACTGGAAAACCCATTCACGTGACTATCAAGCTGGTATTACATTTGAAGACATTTACACAATGCGTCAAGATTCACGTCAATATGAAATGTGCAAAGAATATGCATATGCCTTGTTATCCAAATGTGGATTTAGATATAATAGTAATTCCAGCGTTGATGTATTGCTTAGTTGGGTGAATGAAATTAATCAATTTCACTCAAAAATTTTAATGTCAACACATATATCAAATCCAATTTCAGGTTATAGTATTTTTTCACGTTTATCTGTCAAAAAAGATGTTTTTGACAACCCAACCAAAAAAAATCACGCAAGAAAGGATTAAACGATTTAGATCCTCATAATGACAAATCTGATCCTCTTGAAAATGATCCATTATATGAAGAAAGCCATATTGCTCAATTATTCCCAGAAAATGTCATTTTACCATCAAATTTTGCCAAGAAGGCAAACAAATTCAGCGATTTTGAAACATACATTCATAATACATTAAGTAGATTTCATAACGGGATCACATATGAGAATCTAGAGTTTGCTATTCTAAATGCGAAACGTCATCCAAAACACATTGTTGATCTCATAAATAAAGGCAATTTTTCACAAATCTTAAGGAGTACACTTCGCACAATGACAATTGAAAACAAAGTGAATTATAGTCATGTAACCACACTCTACTTCGCTGCATAGCTCTCAAAATAGAGCTCCTTTATTATAACTATCATAAATTTCAAATCTCAGATTGAAATATTCGTTAAATGATAGTTCTTTTGTATATTTGTATACTATTTTGTTTGTATTAAACTTGTTTGTTATTTTTAGTCACAAATTATATTTTTTAAATTTAATTAAAGTAAAAATTCCTTTAATGGTAATGTTCGAACATTGATTACAAGATAATTAAAATATATGACCTCATTATAAATGAATTTTAACTCTAGATAATTGAGAAAGCTACAAATTGTTTCTAAATCTTGAAATTATTCGATGTCAATCTAATTTTTCTTGTTATAGCCTACTTCTATGGTGTACAGGTTGTCATAATTACTATTTTAAAGTGTAAAACATGCTTATATCAATCAGGACGTTAAAATGGAAAAGTACATACCAAGCAAATGTTTGGATTTATATGCGACAGCCTTTTTAATGGATGTGACAAAGCGTTTCAATATAGATTTTGATTAAAGCATAACTGCAAATTATAATTTGACTTTATATGTACCAATAATAATGGCAATTATGAGTTTTTTTATATAAATTATATCACACCGCTTCTAGTAATTTTTAGCTTAAGCATATCATCGGCTAATTTTCAAAAAAAAAGAATTTCAAATTTTAATCCAAATTCTTTTCTTAAAATTCACAATCAAATTACAGCTTATCTTTAATAGTCTTATTCATTCTATGCTTTTTTTTCGGCTCCATAAAAGTCATAAATTTTTCCAT